GGGAAAAAACACAATAAAAACACAAAACAACACAAACACACAAAACAAACTATGACATAAACGAAAACAACAAAAGGCCCTTCCCCGAGCAGATAGACTAAGCGCGAATCACCAGCAAACCCAGGTCTACCACCAAAAAGAAAAGAACTAAAACCAAGAACATGCTCTCAAAACTGCCAAACGTCTAACCGAAGTCGGAACTACAAATCTCGATCCAATCCAGGAAGAAGAACCCGACCCATAGCTGGAATAGCGACAATCCACATCCCCACACACCACCACCGTCCCGGCCCCGCCAACACCACTGGCCGCGGACCGTCAACGTCGGCCTCCCATCGACCCCACACCAGAGAACCACGGGAACAAGGGTTATAAATCGCAACTCCACAGCCCCATTCGTCCCGCACAGACCACGCTAGCGACTAGGGCCACACCAAAGCCCCAACCCCGCACCACCACCCAGTACCACCGCAAGACCAAGAAGGCAGACAACCCTTGCCCTCGAACAACAACCTGGAAAAGGCGACGCCCGACCGTAGGATGGTCATCAATCTCCACCTGCGAGAGCGGAAAAGGGCAACACGAAATTAGGGCAAGGACTGAGCGGCTACGGGCCATCCGTCGGCAAAGGCCCGACAGTCTGCCGGGGAAGATACTCGAGGAAGATGACGGCGCCTGAAGCTGAATTTCGGGATTTAGAGTACCGAAAGAGAAAAGGGCAAGTCTATTTGTTTGGATGTTGAATTAGATTTCATGATCTCAAGAAACAAAAATGTACAATAAACATCATACCACAACACTCGCATAAGTACTCTCGAGTCACAGGTCTCTCTCTCTCTCTCTCTCTCTCTCTCTCTTTTAAATCAATACACGAAAACACTATTAACCATCATTGCATGTCATTTTAGGGAATAAGGTGGAGAGGGGAGGAGGGGGGTTGTCATAACATAATTTAGATCTAAAAAAGGGTCAAATTTTTATCAGATTTCAAGATCTCAAGAAACGAAAATTTACAATGACCATCAGCCCACAACACTCCATAAATAAGCTGAGTCACAGTCCGTTTTCTCATTTTTTTTAAATCACTACACGAAGACACTCTCATCACGTCATTTTCTAATGGACCGGCAAAATGACGAAAATGACTCCTTGAGCTCGTTTGGGAGGGCAAGTGATAAAGGAGGAAGCTCCCCATAGTGTTGCTTGTTGACACCCATTTTAAGTGAGGAAGCAAGTGCTGGTTGTTGCTTGTTAAGACCTTCAATTATGAATGAGAAAGCCCCAAACGTCAGGCAGCTTTGGAGTAGAGCTTGTGGAGCACCTGCACAGAAAATAAATGGCATTTGCAAGTTAATAACATGTTCACATGGTGACATCACTCGTACGAGGTTAACCAAAAATGTAAGCATTGCTATTTATAAACAGAGATAAGCGACTATGTTCCTTTGAGTGCAAGAGTAATGGAAACAAAAACCTGTTTTATTATCTTAGATGCAGAGCAGATTGAGATTAGATTTGGTACTTCAATGCATTGATATTTTCTGTTCTAGAACACATTGCCACAAAACGCTAGCGCATGCGGGACACTAAATTAACTTAGAGGGTTGTCTGTTTGAGTTCATTTTTAAAAAGATTCAATAAGCTTTTACTAGTTAACATGTTTTAAATTCATATTCTGGAAATAAGTCGTTTGATGTGTTTGGATGAAATATGACGAAGACGCTCATAAAATATTGATAACATCAGTGTAGTAACTAGTAATTAAAACGGTCAAAGATGAAGGAAAATTGTGAACAGGGTTTAAATTGCAAACGAAGTGAGGTTCCACATTTTATAACAGACTTGTAAACTCTACATCCTATGGTGGATGATAATTGGATTTTTTTTTTTTTTTTT